CATTTATCTTAAAGTCAAAAACTAATAAGCGATACTGGGTACATAAACTTTCACTCAGCATAATTTTATAATATTTACAAATCTAAATTATCTATTTTTTATAAGAAAATAATCAATTTGAGTTTTACTATATTTATTCTTATAAGTGATAAATGCTCCTCTCTTTTCTTAAAAAAGGTGTTAGCAATTATAAAATTATGAGCTAGAGAAAAATCTAATATAGCTCTATCATCTTCATTAGTTGCTCCAAATCAATAACCACCATGAATGCTTCTAAAATCTTCAACCTTTTTATCAATATGTCCATTTAAATCTCCTCCAATAAAAATACTTTATTTAAGAGGTATATTTTATATTAATTTTTTTAAGTCATTCCAAAATTTTAATTTTGAACATATATCCAACCTACTTGAGAAGCATAAGCACTTACAATATTGATAATCTTAGTATCAACATCAATCTTTAAGGATATAATTCTATATCAAATTCTATTAATTTTTATCATATTATCCTTCAAACTCTTATTTATAATCATACTAATCTCATTTCTAGTACGACTCCTATCTGAATATTATAGTTTAAATCCTAAATTATCAATCTCCTTAGCATTCTGTCTAACCCATTTAATTTCCTGAATGCATAAAATATTTATCATCATATTGATCATAATATATGTTAATTCCATTAATTTGCCTATAAGAGAACATATATTCCAAGTTTCTATCATAATTCTATTTTTATAAGATTTTAAGTATGGTTCAAGTTTTCATTTTGTATGATCAATAGTTGAGTTAGCCACAATGTTCATATAACTACTACCATGAATAAATAGCTTGCATAACAATATTTTATCATGCTTAAATTAAATTTGAAATGTAAAAGTTCATTTCCATTCAAACTTGCTTTATGTGATGCAATCATACATAATATTTACAAATTTCCTAATATAAACACTTATTTTTTTATCACAATCATGAATATCATCCCCTTCATTAATTTCATAGTCCTCTTCTTCATCACATTCACATTCATGAATATCATCCCCTTCATTAATTTCATAGTTCTCTTCTTCCACATTGATATTTAAATTCCTTCTAGTATATTCATTTTCATAGTGGTCAATCTGATAACACTTAAAGCAAGCTTTTACAAAAAAAATTTGATGAGATGCCACAGTTATATTATTTTCTTTATTGTCATTGCCAATAATAATGTTACTTCCTTTAGATGTTTGTGCGATAGACGGAGTTTAACTATTTTGAAAAAAAGATATATTTTTAGTACAGTAACTCTCTTAGTAGTAAAAAAATTTAAAAAAATTCAAACCTACTGCTAGTTGAAAAGCATGATCAAATTAGAGATTGAGGTGTCATTTCTCATCTGATGTTGAACTTAATCTGGATCTAAATCTTAAAACTATTATTTTAGGATCTTAAAATTATTATAAAAGAAAAATAATAACTCTTTAAATATATTCATATATTCAAAAATGATTTGGGTTCCTAGTTTTCATGCTGTAATTTATCAAGCAGTTGATAATGATATGATATTAAAAAAAAATCATTCTTTGAGCAATTCTTTCATTTAAAGTAGTAGATAATGATATGATATAATAGAAGTATTTTTTAAGCAATTCTTCATTTCAACCCAAGTAGTTGTTCATTCTTTAACCAATGAATTCGACAAATTAGCAGGCCTCTATCAGAGCACTGGGATACCAATCAACACCTTGGCCTGTTTAAATACTTTATTTGGTATCCCCTCCTCCCTCCCTCCCTCCCTCCCTCCCTCCAAAGTGGTTACTTCTCTTATTTGTTGGTACTCAATGCAATTACATAGGGGACCTCACAGTGCTAACTAATGGGGTTCTTGATTCTTTCTTTTTTTGTTGTAACTTTGTATGGATTGATATACATAGAAGTAAAATTCTTACAACTTTTATTTGTTTTTGTCATGAGAAGACATATATAGATGTTTCCATAATAGCTTGGCCTGCTAATTTTAGCACTCATTCAATACATTTTAGCTTGGCCTGATAATTTTAATTTAAATAATCTTACTTGATATTCAACCAACATAGTCTCTTATTCTAAGAAATTATCCATGTCCATAACCTTTATCAAGGAAAAAAAAACCTTAAGATATATTTTTCATTAAATATGGAAACTTCAGTTTTAATTTTATATATTTTATTGATTATGTCATGATCTAAATCATATATTTGTATTAGATGATTTCCACAAGTTTTATCATCACTCGCCATATATGATCTGCTTTAACTATATCTATAGTGATGAATGTATTGCCTATTATGGTTTTAGAATTCAGATGGATGGATTCATCATTATGAATAGAATCAAGTTCTAGCTACAATTGAAATTGGGCATTTTCCAAAATTTCAAATCGCACTTTAGCTTAATTTATATCATCTCTTAGTTGATTTAATTTATTTTGAAATTCAACTGATTGTTTGTGCAAATTTTTCTAGGTATCATCCCTAGTGTAATACATTAAATGACCCTGACATTGAGCCCCACTTATAGCCGAAACTGCGACACAAACATAGGCTTTAATACCAAATCTAAAGCAAGATGTGTTAAGATTTATAATTTTCTAATGCAAATTTACAATTAGATGCCCAAAATCACGCACACACATCAAATTCATAGTTCATAAGACCATAATTTATTAACTAAACATTTCTTTAGATGAAAATAAAAAATATGAAGAATTTAACAAAAGAAAATTTGATAGCCATATATTAAAAAAAATGAATTGAATTTAAAAAATAATAAAAATAAAATCATATGCATGGTTATGCCACAATCAAAAAATCAAAATTTACCAAATTTACTAAAATTCATCATACAAGCAAACCAATAACTAGACATTAAAAAAATAGAAAAAAAAAGGTAAATAGGAACACCAAACTTCACGTGTGCATAAGTAGATAATTTCCCCTGAAAATCTTCAATCTCTACAAAAAGGAATTGCATCCAGCAACAATTTATTTGAATCAAAATAGAGCCATAATAGAATACCTTGTCCATACCACAAACCCTATTTTCTAATTACAAAATTATTGAATTTATAATTAAAATATTAGAAGATAAGCAACAACATTATGCTAGGGGAACCAAATCACAACTATAGAAACCTCCCTCACGATCTCATAATAGATGGCCTGCAAAGATAAAAAAAAAACTAAAAAGTGTAGAAGCCCGTAATGAAATGATGCCAAAACCACAATCCCATAAAAGAAGGCCACAAAGATCAAAGTCTGGCGATTGTAGAAACCTAAAACAAAAGCATGCCAAAATCAAAGCTTGAAAAAACTTAAAAACCCATAAGATACGAACGAATGCAAGGGAAGACAAAGAAAGTCCTAAAACCTATGATGCACAGACACGGACACGGTGACACGGATATGACACGATACATATACGTTACACATCTATTATTGAAAATATAGAACACAGACACGGGTTGGACATGGTATTATATTTTTTCCATTTTAAAAGTGTATAAAAATTGAATAAGTATAATATTAAAAATAATAAGTCATTTAACAAATTCTAGAATTTGTGCTTAAAATGATTAATATTAGGATGTCGAGAATCAGGCGTCGATACTGCATATATGGCATCGAGAGAGGAGACGACAATGCTGTCAAAAGTCGAACATTGATGTTATGCAGTAAGTTTCGAGCATTGATGTCAAGAAGGCGTCTATCGTCAATGTTGAGAGGGTGTTGGTTGTCGATGTCAAGACAACGTCATACAAAGATGAGTTGTCAAGTTGTGGGTGTAGAAATCTCTAGTGTCGAGCAACAATGTCAAAATAGTGTCAGATTTTGATGTTGATATGGTTTTGACTGAAATATTGATGTTGCAACGACGTCAGATGACGATGTCATCGGGCGTATTGTGAAACCAAAGTCACAACTCGCTAAAGAGAAATGAGAATGAGAATATTCGATAAATGGGGTATTGAGTGCGGGCAATTGATTTGGTGTTGTGGATAGAAAATAAGAAATTAAATTTTTATATTTTAAATAAAAGAAATTGTATTTAAAAAATTCATAAAATATTTAATACGCATGAGTTGGGCACGCGTATCCAATTTGTATTTAATATTTTTTAATCGGACACGTTTTCGGCGTATCCGACACATGTCGGTGGCGTTTGGGATGTGTGTCGTGTCGGACACTGCACGTCTCTTTAAGGAGAAGTGTTGGTGCATCATAGCCGAAAATCAATAATAACAAGAGAACTGCACTAAGGGTGAATTCAAAAATTCAAAGAATACAACTCATTAATATAGTATCATACTCATATTTCAAAGGAAAACTAAATCTAAAATTCCTAAAAACAAAAAAGCTACTAAAGTAAAATCACTGAGATTGTCAATTAATTCATATCAACACACACATCTCGATTTTCTGATGAATATAAACATTCACTTTAACACTAGGCAGGAATGCTTAAACGAAGAAATGCCTACAATGCTATGTACTTAGCACAGCACAGAAACCCGGGTATGTACTAATGTTCTTTGCCAGGAAAAAAGAGAAAGGATTGGAACAATAAAGAGAGAAGGGAGGATATAATTTTTCCAATACATAAATCATCTGTCGTTGGATTTAGGACTAGTCTACATGGTGGGGCTAAGAGGATACCTACCAAAAACCAAAAAAAAAAAAATTCTCAATATTGCACCATTAGTGAGCCTACTAGGCACCCCACGTCGTAAAAAGGATGACAATATAGCAGTGGTTTATTAAAACAGATATGAGTGGCCTATATTTATGCAAAATCAAAAAAGGAAGTAACAACACCCTGAGCTTGGCTTGCCTCACGAAATTAATATTACAGATTAAGAGCAAGATATAATAACACAATTAACACAAAAGTATTTAGAAAGATGGTACCAATTCTACCCTTCTACCAGTCATTCTTGAATTACCAATTATAAGCTTGAAAGAAGGGATAGAATTATACCAATTGTAAAGCCTTTATACTCTATAAGCGAGTCCTCGGATCTTGTATTGGCTCTATTCTCGAATTCCATGGTATAAGACATGCCAGAACACCCTCCTTGTTTGACTCCAATTCTCAAGCACAGATCTTCATTCTTATCAACTCTCATCTTATTAAGATGGTTGAATGCCTTGTCAGACAATGAAATGGCTGGTGCAATGCTTCCAGCTGTGGGAGTTGCTAAGACAATAAAAAAGTAGTAGAAATTTAAGGATATTTGAAAGTACAAATCATTCATAAATGCATCAATCAAAATTAAGAAAGTAACACATGGATTATCAATTCAAATGATAAAGGACTGATTTTTTTTTTCCTTTTTGAAATCCACTTAAATTCAGAGTTTTACTTATCTTACTCATCTTCTCATCAATTATTGTTTAAAAAAACAGTAATGAAAGATTAACAGAATAGCCTTAAGGAAAAGTTAAAAGGGAAAAATATAAAAGAAAGTTATTAAAAGTAGTAAGCAGTCCATGGAAAAGACAATTTAAATAAGAGAAAAATATTTCCAATGCATAATTTAAAAAAGGCAATTAAATTATTTGGGGTCTACCATATTGCAGTAAAAATCATTTAATCAAATAAACAATTGGGATAAGACTGATTTGCGGCTAGTACTTGGCTTAATTACAGTACTGGCAATATATGGCAACAGTCAAGTCATTTGCAATAAAAATGTTATTAGTTACATCTAATATATCAATTATATCAACCTTACTCTAAACAATGATTTCATAAGAGATTAAGGAAAGCTATTAAGAATGAGATATCAAGGCACCTATGATGCACTGACACGGACACGACACGACACGGATACGGGACACAGCATTTTTTAAAAATATAGGACACGGGTGCAGCATGGACATGACATAATAATTTTTTAATATAATATATAGAAATTAAAGTAACATTATATTAAAAAAGACAAGCAATAATAAATCAATTTCATGATAACTTGTTTAGCTTATAACATAAAGATGTTTAATACAAAAAGTCTAGTACAACCACAAAAATATAAGCAAAAAAACCATTTAGTACAACATAAAGGTCCAACTACTCAATAGAGGGAATGATAGAATTAGATTCAGAGGTTGATCTTTGGCCTTCAATATCATCATCATTGAATATCATTGCTTCCAACTCTAGTTCATCTAGAGAAATATTTGCAACCTCCAATAATCCCATATCATCAAAGCACTCGAACCCATCTCCAGCAATATCCCACGTCTTGTTATCAAATGTCATATAAAGTGGGGTTTTCCTTGATAGAAGACGAATATTTGTATGCACATAAACTAAATCTTCAGCTCGTTGTGGAATTATTTTATTCCTCTTCATTTATTGAATAAATGAGTATGTGCTCCAATTTCTCTCACAACAGAAAGAGAATGTGATGCGGACATCGGCACGAAAATCTGGCGCATCTATCACAGGAGGCGTCGTAAATCGAAGGCTCTGATTTAAGTGTCATTTATGAATTATTTTCTGCATTTTAGTTTCTATTTTATGTTATTTCCTATTTTACCCCTAACCCCCACCTTTGCTCCAATTATTAATTGCCTTTCCTAAATTGGAGGGATTAAGTTAACAAAGGATTTGAATTCAAAATTCAAATTTGAATTCAAATTTATTTATTGCTTAATTCATTCTTAATAATTAGGCATTTAATGATGTCATTAATTCTGAAATAAAATCTCAGAATTTTGAATTCAAAAAAATCCCGCCGGCCTCCCTTAATCCTTCCCTTGTAATCAATTTAGGGAAGAGCTCTTCATTAATGCAAATTTGAATTCGAAAATTTGAATTCGAATTAGCATTATTCACCCCATTAATCTCTCCCACCATTTAAGCCAATCGTCATTAATTCTCAAATTTGAATTTAAATTCAGATTTAAGACATTAATTCCCTCAAATCACTCTCCAAATTAAATCACCTCCACCTTGGCTTTAATTAATCATTATTTCCTATTCTACTTCCTAGAACCAGAATTGAAACTTGGGAAATAAAATTTTCCCACTTAATTCTATTCCCGTAACCCAACAATGTCAAACCTATCACGGGATAATGCAAGTGGATTTCCCAATTTAATTTCCATTTAATTTTCCCTGTGGTCCCGCCGTTTCCCTCTCCTCCTAAATGCTCCAGCAAGAAATTTCCTTCACTCCAAAGCTTTACTCTTATTTCCTAAAATCAGAAATCATGTTTTGGAAATAAAATTCCCTCTTTTTCCTGTGACCCGTCTCTCCCCTCCCTCTCATAACTCCCCTCCTCCTTTGCTTCCCTTTGCTGGAACTCCATAGCTCTTGCTGCAAGTCCTTCCTCCCCACACATAGAGTTGGGATTCCTTTCAGATTTCTGAATGCAGAAAATCTGAAATATTTCAGATTCCATTAAGAAGAAATCCCCTCCTTTGCAACGCCTCCTTTTTTTTCGTTCTACATCAGAATGATACTTGAAGTTCTACTTGTTTTTAAAGTTCGTAAGTTATTTGTATGGAAAGATACCGAGCGGTACCGAGCATGTATCGAGCGGTACCGAGCATGTACCTAGCTGTATCAAGCTTATACCTAGCGGTACCGACCATGTACTGAGCAGTACCTAGCGATACCTAGCGGTACCAAGCATGTACCTAGCGATACCTAGCGGTACCGAGCATATACATTAGGTTTTTTTTTTGGTAAGTTTCAAAAAACAACAATTAATATTTCAGGCGTCGAGAGTCAGGCGTCGATGTCATTTATCAATAATCGAGAGAGGAGATGAAAATATCTTTACTGCCAAAAAGAAATGAAAATGAGAATATTCAATGATTGGGAATTAAGTACGAACGTTGATTTGATGTTGTGGATAGGAAATAAGAAATTTAGTTTAAATCCTGCAAAATATAAGAAATTATATTTAAAAACATTCATAAAATATTTAAGATATGCGTGTCGGACACACGTGTCCAATTTGCATTTAATATTTTTTAATCGGACACGTTTTCGGCGTGTCCGACACGTGTCGGAAGAGTGTCGGACGAGTGTCGTGTCGGACACTGCATGCCTCTTTGAGGAGAAGTGTCGGTGCATCATAGCAAGGCACCATATATTGCAAAATCCAGAAAAAAAAAAAAATTCTTCCAAACGTGTAACTGATTTAACTCTGATGCTCAAAGTATGGAATCAAACTTCTAAAGCTCAGCAAAACAGAAAGGTCAGGCCGGGATTCACATATCTGCCCTCTCTCCTCCTATGGAGGTGGTTTGAGTGGAAAAAAAAAGTGGAACCATAAAGTAAATAACAAGAATGAGTTGCAATTAGAAAGAGCCAATGGACAGAATGAAAGATCCACCAAAAAAAAGAGAAAAAGCAAAACTAGTCATGATGCCCAAGTTTCAATTACATTATCCTTGGAGGGCACATAAGCCAAATGCATCCATTCCTGTCAGAAAGATTTTGAGATAACGTCACAAAATTATTGTATGATTACATTTCAATGTGGATATAACCACTAAAAAAAAGTAGCCTGCTAGCCTTAAGACAAATCAGAAGGAAAGAATATGATTTTACAGTTTATTTGAAGAAATTCATTCAGATAAATGCTTGACTCACCAGGATGAATTTATGCAAGTTGGCCAGAAAGTTAACCAAAAATTGCACCTCTTCTATGTTAAGGGTTACTTGGTTGCAAGTATTAAGAGTGTAAAGTAAAAATTTACAAAGAATTCGTGTGTACGCACTTGTGTTTGATTCCAGATAAAATCAGGGTAAAGTTTTTTCTTTATTTGAATGCACCAAAAGGTGTTTTTCATCAGAAAAATACTGTCAAACTCGGTATTTTTTTACGTTGTGCCTACTCTGTAATGCAAAAAAGATAATCATTGTGATCTCTTCAGCTTCGTCCACACCCAGATTGCTAACTCAGCCAGCACAGGATGCCAATCAACTACCACTCACCTCAGTCAGCCCTTCCTTAGGACAAAATTGCTCGCCTCTGATGCCGTGCCTTCCATTTATGACTTCTTCCTCCACAAGGACAAGCCAGCTGATGTGGTTGATCGATATTTGTTTTTTTTTTTTTTAATTCACTATATATGTTTTTTTTTTTATCTAAGAGGAAATGATAACAATGAATTTCAATGAAGCATCAAACTCTAATTTTGTATCTAATCATACAAAAAAATAACAATTTCCCTGCATGCAATTTACATCCGACTAAACAGCATTAGGCAAACAAAATATATTGCATTGAATTTATTCTACAATCCTAAAATGCATGCATTATAAATACATCTACCCAAATGGCCGTTTAGTTACCAGTTCCAACTTCGATTGGCTAGCAGTCTGTGAAAGGAGTTATTACAGCTTAATTCCACAATAAAAATAGGCTAAAAGGCTTTACTTCCATAACCATGCAGCTTTCTAGCAACTAATTCCAGGCTTTCACATTTACCTACATTTAAAATATTATACACCATATCTCTTTAGAATTTTGTTATAGAAACGGGTACAAGCATAGAAAGGGCAGAACTTTAACAAAAAAAAAAAAATGAGGGATATTTTCATAATAAATTATATTCCTCTTCCAGATAAGGACTGCCTCAACCTTTGGAAGTGGTAAGAAGGATATCCATATTGATATTCTTTTTAGTTCTCCCAGAGGCTTTTAGATTTAGGATGACATAAGAATATGTTCTTTATGTTAAAAAACTCAGATAATTAGCATGACAATAATAGAAACAGTGAGAGAAATTAAATGGAGGGCCAGCGAAAAGAGATAAAATTTAGGAATTTGCATGCTATTTTCATCAAGATCAAATAAACCAAATGACAGTGAGGACTTGAACTATCCAACATGATAATAATTGTGAACCGGCCTGAACCACCTACAACTTGGAACTCACTTATTCTCAAGTCACCAAAAGCCTCAAGTCGTCAAAAACGTCGAGTTACATAGGAAGATATATCAAACAAGTCATATGAGTTATCCCAAACTTGAAGCACAATACAAAATTGTTAAACTCATGCAAAACAAACATGAAGTCCCCTACTCGCACTACTTCCTCGATTACTCGCTTTTTTTTTTGGACGTTTAGGGGATTTGAGCCCGGGTGAGAGGGGAGGAATTACTTCCGTCGACCATCCGGCCGCAGGCCCGATCTCTACTCGCTCAATGTATATACTGAGAGTACCAACTTGGGAAACTCGCTGAAGGTACTCTGTCACAAAATACAGCACGTCAATTCACTCAGAGTCACCTCCATCTTCCAACAGGACTTGTTTGCTATTCATCTTGCTACAACAAGATCGACTTATTCATTTCTAGGTAGTTGTACTAAGCTGCTGAATCAGTAGCATCGACCTTGATCTCCGATTATAAATAGGAGATCAGTAGTCCGGTGCAAGCATGCGAAATCACACAAACCTAACACTAAGTCTTTCTTTTAGGGCAGCTTTCTTACTAGAAATTTTTGTACTAGAAAGCTGTTTTAGAAAGCATTAAGGAAGCCATCCCAAACGAAGCCTAAATCTCTCATTATAAGAATTGCATTGCCTTAACTCGGTTCTACTCATTATTCTATGTTCAAGGGGTTCAATCTGGTTCTGAATATCAGTTACATAAGAGACTTTATGAGACCTAGCTTCGCCTTCTCGTCCTTGCACCTTGCGTGAGAATTGTTCGCTAAAGGGGGCATATTTAGCTCCAAAAGAAACCACAATAAATCATGCTACTAAAATCTGAGTTCCCAAAATCTCACAAGCTAGCAAAACCCTAAAATGCTTGCATTCGTTCTGGGTAACAAGCAAACGCCTTACGATCCTCCCCATCCTTAAAATTAGCAAATAGAATAGAACTGATCAACGGCCAGAATAGGAGGGGAAATTATGAAAACATAAAAAAATACAATCTTGACACAAAAAAAGTAACCTCGAAGAAATTAATGAAGTGTGCACTGAATTTGGAAAGCGTAAAACTAGTTAATCACCTGAAGAAGCACTGAATCGAACACAAAGAAACTTCTTGCGGCAGCCCCCGCTGGTCTTCTTGGGTAAGGCAAGAATAGGTCGGTTGATCGCCGGCGACCGTGAATTCAAAGGCAAGCGGCAGGGCAGAGGACCTACACTTCCGGCGAGCGCCATGGTAGGAAGAAGAACCAAAGCAGAACTTCGAGAGAGGGAAAGAAGAGGACTTGCACGTACATATAGACCTCACAGTTTTCTCGTTGCCAAAACCAGCCTTAATCCAATTTTCGATAAAATCCTTTAGATCTGCTTCTCAATCATTGAAGGGTGCGTTTCTTATATCTTGACCCGCAAATATAATCCAAATCCATCCAAAAAAAAAATCTAGACCTGAATAATTTTGAGCCGTGTAGGGCTCAATCTGAAGGCTATCACGAGAAAATTAAATTAGGTTTAAGAGTTTATTTGAAGCATTTATCTCTTTATTTTATTTTTAATATCATAATCTTATTTTATTTCACTATTATTTTCTCTCTCTTTTTTCTACTTTTTCAAGTTTTTTTCTAATAAAAAACTATTTTTTATAACTAGATATGCTAAGTGTTCATTTATGATGAATAACATTTTATAAAAGTGATTATAAAGCTGCTTTAGAGAACTAGGGGTGCAACCGAGTCAAGCTGACTTGCGAGCCAGCTCGCACCCGACTCGTTAATAGGTTCGATAAGTCAAGTTTATCGAGCTCGCGAACCTCCACTCGACTTGTCAACTTGTCGAGTAGCTCGCGGAGGTGACCATCCAACGAGAAAACAAAATCTCAAGATGATGCAAGCAGGAAAACGAATCGAAGCCGGGCGGGAAAATGAAATCTCAACAAGTTAGCATGACAATATCGATGGAACACAACTCAAATGGTTTGCACCCCTACAGAGAACTTTTAGAAAAAAAAATTGTTATAGAAACTAGTTTCCTAGCGCAAATTTTTTCTAAAAGCAATGGAAAAGTAATAACCAAATAAAAACTATTGTTGCAGGCTAGAATACACACGGCGATAGAGTTAGAATTTTTCATCTAAGTATTGTACGGATATCCAGCACACAAACAGAAAAAAATATAAACACAAGGATTTTTATATGAAAAGCCCTTGAAAGGTAAAAACCACAGGTCACATCCAGTTAAAAGAATTCCACTAGTGTTTGCTTGAGGTACACAGTTGAAACTCAGTTACAAAAAAGAATTTGAGATTCGATGATGTTGGGTAGTCAGGCAGAATCCTAGAGTCACTCGGAGATCGAATAGAATTCCGACGTCACTTGGAGATTGGGAGGAGTTCTAGTGTCACTTGAAAGTCGCGCAGAACTCTAGCGTTAGTTGGAGATCGGGTGAAGTTTCGGCGTCACTTGAAAGTCAGTCGGAACTCTTGCGTCACTTGAAAGTCGGCCGGAACTCCGGCGTCACTTGAAAGTCGGGAAGAACTCCGATGGTGGTCGATGAGCTTTTTCCCTCCTTTTCTTATCTTCTTCTTCTTCTTCTTCTTCTTCTTCTTCTTCTTCTTCTTCTCTTCTCTTCTTATTTGGGTCCCCTCTTAAGAGAAATGTAGGGATATTTATAATTTTTTTGAGAGTGACATGACCCGTAAATAGGAGAATGATCAATGACAAATGAAGAGTGGTTTGAATGAACGGCCGATATTGAATCCCTTGATCATGGACCGTTCGTCAGACATTTGAAGGTCTTAATGATATCGGAATTCAGTGATCTTGGGCTTGTTGGATTCGCCTCGTCAAGCCACTCGATTCAATTACAAACATGTCATGTTTGAAAACTGTTTAGTAATCCAAATCGTGGTTTGAACCTTCCAACAACGCTTCAGGCTTTTGATGCTGACCCATTTGTGCTTGGATTGAATTAAATTTGGTGTCGTTGGGTTCGTATTTTTGAGACACTTAGTTCGATTATAAGTTCCCTGAAATCGGAGTTCATATGGTCACAAATTTTATTTTTGAAGCTTCCAACTTGATTTTGCCTCGAGATTCGTGCCTGATTAAGATAATTTTTTTATGATATATCAACTATAACTGCAGTCGGAAAAATAAAGTAATAAGATAAGTGTCTCAAACTAAGTCTAATATGTTATACGTGTAAAAATTTTATTTTTCTTTGACTTTTTATTGAAAAAATGATATATTTATAATATTCGTAATATCTTTTAAAAAAATCATTTTTTCTACAACAACTTCACAATCACTCTTATAAAAAAAAATACAACCATCTTAGACAAACCCTAAGTTGATAATAAAACAAAAAAAAAATTACCTCATAACATATTGGCATAAAATATAACAAAATAAACTCTTTTTGAATTTTCTCTAAGACCATTAATTTTAATGAACATCCTCATATATTTTAGATATAGATATTCTAAATTTTTTATCCAAAAAATATAATGGCAATTCTTGACCAATCATTTTTTTCTTACTCATTTTTTTTTCATTTAAATTAATTTTTTTTTTTCAAGAGTATAATAACCTCATGCCATTTTCAAAGCGTATGAAGTTGATGCCCCCACTCTTCTGATTACAGAACTGTTACGTACAACGCTCAGACGCGAATTTACAAACTCTACCGCCGCGTATTTTCTAACACGCAACAATAATTAATATTTATTTTAATATATAATAAATATGTGATGTGACAACTTATACTATATTTATAATATTTTCCTTGTTTTTATTTTTATTCTTTTGCGTGATTAAACGTTACATGTGGTTAAGATGTTCTAAACAACATTATTTTTTGACTCCTAACATGAGGAAGTGTGCTTTGCTTTTGACTTAAAATTAAGGCCGCCCGAAAATTCTAGGTGCAAGTCAACCCATTTAACAAATAGGTCAATCTTAGGTTCAAGTTTTTGAACCGATTGAAATATCGGGTCCAGTTCGGGTTAACACACAAACCCAAATGCAACATGTTTGACCCTTCTATCGCCCACATCTCGACCGCTCATCCCACTTCACGATCGTCGTGCTCACACCCACCCTCGCCCTCATCTGCTCACTAGCTAGCCCTTGACATCAAGCTAGCCTGCCTTGCTCTTGTTCACCCGTCGCACTCAACTGGATTAGCGGGTTGGGTTGTGTCGAGTCAAGTTTGGGTCTAAAATTTTAACTTGTTTGAACAAAGGGGTTAGATTCGAATCAAATGGGTTAAAAACACGTCAATTTCATATTTGACCTGAATAAAATCACCATTCATAATTGTCATTCAAAATATTCTTTATTATTATTATTATTATGCATTTATAATTTCTAACAATGATTGTTAAGTTGAGAGCATAGTCAGCTAAACTATGTAACCTTCAAATATTCTATGAAAAAGTGATTTTATCACATTTCAAGCAAACAAAAAATAAAAAATATGCTTGCAATAACTTTCAAAAATTTATTTTTTCCGATAATTATTATATAATCACTTTTAAAAAAACTGCAACCACCCCAAACGGGGTTGCTGAAGCTGTTTATGTAGTTTGAAAAATTCAGCTGCACTCTCTTCATAAACCAAAAACCTATTTGTTGTTTGAATGACTGCTATGTCAATGTGTTTGCTGGTTACAAAGATTAAGGTTTTGTTTGGGACAATTTTCTAGTTGTTTCTTAAAGCAAATTTTATACTATAAAATTGCTTTTAAAAGCAACTAGAAAGCCGTCCCAAACCAAACCTAAAATGCTACTATTTTCATTTATATGCAATAAAACTCTGTAACATCATAATGCCACTGCTTATAAATATTTCATTATGGTAATCAATTTCTTCAATTACCAGTATAGTTTTCAGATGAGCAGATTACCAAACATTATTCAACATAAAAATATCAATTCATCATAGGTAATTAGGGAGGCGAGCGAGTCAAGTAAGCTGGCTTAAGCTCGACTCGCTAAAGAGCCTCATAAGCAATTAGGACTGTAAGTGAGTCAAGTTGGCTCATAAGTTAGCTTAAACTCAACTAGCGAAAGAGCTCGCGAGTCCTATGCACTATAGGAGAATTGATGTAGCACATTAATTGAATAAAAAAAAAATAAAGCAATATAGCTAATAACAACAAGAGTCCAATTAAAAAAAAATTAATTGAGTTACAATTTAAATATCAGTTTAAATATTTAAATTTAAAATTTAACAACTAGAAGGTTTGATTTTTCATCTTATAGAACGAATATTGGCTAGCATCTTAATTGAGATAAGATGAATTAATAAAAGTGATTGACACATTCCTCTATTTTTTTAATAAGGTTTGATTTTTCATCTTATATATGGGCTAGCACTTTAAAATCAAATTTTATTTTTGTTTTTGTTAATGCTTATGGTTAACTCTATAAATTTATTTGAATTAACTTGTGCCAATTTATTTTCTTAAGAACTAAAGGCTTGATAGTCTTGCACTTTTTCTTTTTTCTTTTATATTTACAAATATTGGCTGGCATCTTAATTGAGATAAGATGAATTAATAAAAGTGATTGACAGATTTCTCTATTTTTTTAATAAGGTTTGATTTTTCATCTTATATATGGGCTAGCACTTTAAAATCAAATTTTATTTTTGTTTTTGTTAATGCTTATGGTTAACTCTATAAATTTATTTGAATTAACTTGTGCCAATTTATTTTCTTAAGAACTAAAGGCTTGATAGTCTTGCACTTTTTCTTTTTTCTTTTATATTTAAAATTGCTCAAGGATAAGTGAGCTAAACTTAATTTTTTAGGCTAAATAGAATTTTGCCACAAAAAACTTTAATTGTCTAAAGAGAGCTCGAGATGAGAAAGGTTTTGCAAGCCCCACCTCACATGGAAATTTTTTTACCTAAAATTTCACTTATTGCACATTAATATTATCTTTTCTTACTCTTTGTTTTTAAAATATTTTTTCCTCTTATCTCGCTTCATATTCTTAAAATCATCGGCATGGCAACCAAATCAACATCTAAGGATCAAATTGAGAATTTGACCATATTATAATACATCTTAGACCTTAAAATTCGTGAAAATGATTTTAAAAACCAACAAATCTTTGAAGGAAATAAGATTCAAATGCAGATATTAAGAAACAAATGTAAAAACCTCATGGTCAACTCTGACTCCCATAGTAGTTCAAATTATATCCACGGAACAAATGAAGAAGACTCACATCCAAACCCCGTGGAAAACCAAACTTTTAGAAGACCACCAACCTATAGGAATTAAAATAAAAGAGAAAATCATTATAGGAATGTTGAAAACTTTAATTACCATCAAAGAGAGAAGGTGAGGCCTCTATATATGATAGTGTTAATAACCTAAATAAATTCATAGACTATTTAATACAAATAGATGATTTTTTTTATTGATAAAACATGGATGACTACTAGAGAGTTATTCTTATTGAGATGAAACTTTTAGAGTATGCCAAAATTTATTAAATCAACAATTTAACCAGATAGCAGACACTAGGCATGATGAATTTTAACTAAATAGAGATGAAAGAAATGTTAGGACCTAAACATTATTCTAGGCACTATGATAAGAGACTGCATGGAAAACACTCTTTAGCACCCATTCTCTCCTCCCTTTCTCTCTTAGAAAACTATCTTATAAGCCTCTCTCCAATAATCCATTCTCTCTCTTAAAAGGCTTCTTTCTTTGCCTCCTCTCTCTTCTATGGAAGCCTCTATCTCACTCTCTTAAAATTCTCTCTCCCTCTATTATAAAAGTCACTCTCTCTTTTAGAATCCACTCTCTTTCTATGTCTATCTTAGAATCTATTCTCTCATAAAAGCCACTCTTTCTCTCACATAAGATTCTCTGTATATCCTACAAGCCTCTCTCTCTCTCTCTTAATCCTCTCTCACTCTTAAAAGCCTCTCTTTATCTCTCTCTCATGTTAATTATACGCCTTCCAAGCTTCTCCCTTTTAAGCCTTTATCTCTCATAAAAACTCACATATCCTTCTATCTCATTCTCTCTCTCTCTCTCTCTCTCTCTCTCTCTCTCTCTCTCTCTCTCTCTCTCTCTTACAAGCAACTCTCTCTTAAAATCATGATTATGTGTCTATTGAGCAAGAGAGGAGAAAAGTGGGTTGTGATATCCATGTGGGTGTACACACGAGTGGATTGTGACAATGGGAGGGAAGAAAAGAAGTGAGTAGTGATATATTGAGGAAGTGTGGCCACAGAAAGTGGGTGCAATTGATAAAAAGTGGGTTGTGATGTACCCGGGAGTGTATGCATAAGAAGTATGACATGATAGATAGGAAGAGGAGAGATATGACAATAGAAATGTGCGCACATGAAGCAGATTGTGATAAACAGTGTGTGGTGCGGGTACTTATGCACGAAAGAAAAAGTGAGAGAAAGCTATAACACGCTCATATATACATTGCATTGACTAGTACATATATTCTTATGTTTATTTTTAATGTTGATACATTTCCAAAAAATTCAACTGATAATTACAAATCTCAAGAAATTTTGAATAGAAAATTTCAAAAATTAAATTTATGACCATTCAAATTCTGATTTTAGCAAACGTATAGTGGAACTAAACATTTCAATAATTCGAACCCATCAACACCATAGATGATTTGATATGAGTCCAAATAAACTCAAATCAAGCACTTGAAGCATATTTGAAAACATCTAAAGATTAATTGAACGAATAAACAATCTCTAAATCTTGTGCTTATAATCAAATCGAATGACTTGTTGAGACGAATCTAACAAACCTAAGATCATTTGATTCTAACATCATTAAGGCACTCAAAATGCTAGATAAATTATCTATAATCAAAAGGATCAATATGAGTCGTTCGATGAAGTGTTTTGGATAATGACCAAATTTATCAAAATACCTCAAAAAAAAACTATAAATAGGACCTCATTTTCTATAGGAGGGGAGGTTCAAGGGTTGAGATAGTTAAAAGAAATCTATTGCATTTTTCAACGATTATTGACAACAACCATCATCAACAATCGTCGTTATCATCGCTAGACTTATGTAATCCAACTATTATAGCTTGACTTTTAACATAGAACACTATTGTTAAGTTTTAGCAGTCCGCTAGTGAACACTCAATTTACACAATTCCCATAACATAAATCAGATAATTGTTTACAATTTATATATAATTCAATCTTCTTCAACTGTGAAGAAATGAGGGATTATTATTTATATTATTTAGTAGATTTATTCGATTGGCTCAGACCTCATAATTTTTCTCTTTCTAGGATATTCCACATAAACAATTTTAATATATCTTACAAATTTATATCTGTGTGTTGAATATTTGTATAAAGTTAACATATTACATATTCAACCATTACAAATTTTCTAGCACATCAATGATCTCATTTCTTTATAATCTTTTAATGTAAATTTACAAATAGACATTTGCAGGAGGATGTACCTTGGTGTATGCTTTTTGCTGATGATATTCTTCTTGTTGATAAGACTAGTGAGGAAGTTGAAAGTAAACTTGAATTATGGAGGTCAACATTAGAGACTAAATGTTTTCGCTTGAGTAGATCTAAAACGGAATATATATAGTATAATTTTAGTAGTAATAGACCTAGTGAGGGGATTGTGACTTTGGACGATCAAGCCATTAATAAGAGTACACGTTTTAGATATCTTAGATCTATTGTTCAGAGTGATGGTGAAATAGATAGGGATATTATCAGCAGAATTCAAGTTGGATGGTTGAAGTTGAGGAATGCATCGGGCTTGTTGTGTGATAGAAAAGTACCTCTCAAACTTAAGGGGAAATTCTATAAGATGGTAGTGAGGTCTGCAATGCTTTATGGTGCTAAATGTTGGCCATTAAAAGAGAAACATAATACTAAGTTAAGTGTGGCAGAGATGAGGATGCTCAGGTGGATGAGTGGCTTTACCCTTAGAGATAGGATATGAAATGAGCATATACGTGAAAAGGTTGGAGTAGCTCCAGTAGAAGATAAGATTAGAGAGAGTCGCCTTAGATGGTTTGGTCACATAAAACGGCGGCCTTCCAATGACCCGGTTAGGATAGTAGAGGTATTAGATTTGACTTATGTTAAGAAAGGTAGATGCAGACCTAAAGACTTGGTTAGAAAATATTATGAATGACCTTTCTTTATTAGATTTAAACAAGAATTTGACCTTTAATAGGACACAATGGAGAAAAATGATTCATGTAGCCGACCCCACGTAGTGGGATAAAGGCTTGATGTTGTTGTAATGTAAATTTACAAATAATTTTTCCTTGTCCTTACCAAAGTTCTATAGGGGAGAAGATGAGCATAATGGTAAATCTATTAACTCATATTTACTACACAACAAAACAAAATTGAAGCCGAAATACTAATACCATTATCATCATGTCCTCCACTCCAACGGCTATAAAATCCACACCAGCCAATATCACCACAACTACCACCCGGAGCACCGAAGCGGGGTCGCGCGGCCGGGTTGCGCGGAGAGCGGAGCGGTCGGGCGTGGAGGCAGCGGGTTTGCGACGGGGTTGCGAGACAGCAGGTTTGCGGGTTGACCCGACAACCCGTCGGATCAACCCGAACTCAACCCGTTTTTCAAACGGGTCGATTTCTGGAACCCGAACCCGACCCGTTTTGAAATCGGGTCGGGTCCAACCCGGATTTTCCGGGTCGGGTCCGGGTCGGGTTTTCGTGTCGTGTCAAATATTGACACCCCAACCCATACGCCTCTATCTCCGAGTCCACCAAAATCTCCCTATCGGCTACATATATCACTCCATTTTATCCATATTCAATCTTCACAAATCCATTTTCAAGACCACCTACACAATCACCAATCTACATACAACCAAAGTACTATCCCCAATCATCTTGTTCTGTTTAACATTCTAGCTACCCTGAACCTTCTTACTATCCTTCTCATTACTTTCATGACTACACTACCCAGCATCAACACGCAAAAATAATATGTTGAGCCTACTGGTGGAGAAATTATTACGTGCGGATGCCGAATGGAGTTTACCATCCGAAGACCAACCAGAATATGTCACATCAACAATACTGAGCCGGGTACCGAGCAGGGGACGACATGACGCATTCTAGTTGGTCTCTGGACAGCATTCGGCATCCGCACAAAATAATTTCACCTAATTGTGACATGTAAGTCTTCGAAATAATTGTCTTTACATAATTAATTAAAATTGCCTTCATATTATTTCTCTTTTATCAAGTTCAATCCTACATGTTTAACTCATCTCAATGAAGAACAAACGAGATTAGAAACATCAAGCGAGCTAAGTTTGATGCTCCTTATGTATATTGGAAGAAGGTATATTCAAAAGTTCACGGCATGTGGTGGAATGGAGTTATTTGTCCCAACCAAGAGATTTTATTACTTGGAAGTATATGGAACAAAATAGATCACATATTCCATTTATATTTACTGAAAAATGATTAGGAAGGCAATGGTTAGTTCAAGACTACTAAGCATTCGTATGAGAACTGCATAGAGGGTTGCATCTATTCTGTCATGTTGATTCATTCCAAAGAGAATCTAACTAATAATTTTTCTCATAAGAGCCAATGAAACAAAAAGCATGATACCACATGAAAGGGGCAAACAAGTGAGAATGATTGATAAAAATGTAACTCACAATAGCTCAAACAAACACAAGAACTGAATGCACAAAAAATGAATTTCTACAAAACAAACATAAATTAGTATAACCCACTTCAATACAACTCAATTCTAAAATTTTGATTAAAACACTTTGAATGAAACAAAAAATTGACTCTTAGGCTTCGTTTGGGACGACTTTTTTATTGCTTCTTAAAGCAACTTTCTAGTTTAAAAACTAAAATTTTCATGCTAAAAAACTATTTTAAGAAGTAGTAAGAAAGTCATCCCAAACAAAGCCTTGGAAGGGGTTTTCGGTTGAACTTTAACAAGAAGCAGGCATCATCAAAGTATAATTGAAAGTTAGTTACTTTTATTCATAAAATTTCATATGTTTACTAAATGAATTTCTCATCAACTTAACAAGAGTTTTATTTTCTGGGAAAAAATGAAAAAAGAAAACTACAGTGGACAAACTCCGCCAAAAATGGCAAATCTTTACAAACATAAAGGCTTTATCCACAACTTGATCTTCAAATCAAATATCAGATCTTCTTTATACGATCTATAAATCTCTCACAATCTAACTTCTTCAACTTCTCATAAATTCCAACCTGCTTCTTCATCTTCTTTGCAACCGATCCAATTGGAGAAACCGTTGCAATAATAACAAAATTCTCCCCATTTTCTACTCTCAGTTCATACAATTCACAGAAAACCTCTCGAAAAAGCTTAATCATATTTGCATATGATGATTCATTCGAAGGAATAACATTTACTACCAGAATCCCATCCGGATAAAGAGCCATTCTTGCCCCAACAAGAACACTCACTTGCAAAAACTCCGCTGGTGGCGCACCGATACCTTTCATAGGATCCTCTTCATCTAAATCCACCATGATGGCATGAAAAAGATTTCCCTTCGATCGTTCTAGCGCAAAATCCTCGATTAATTTGATCCCATCATCCACAACCACCTTCAAGAACTCACCTTCAACTAGTCCAAAATGCCTCCTTGCAACGCTCAAAACAACAACATCGGCCTCCACACCTAATACACCAAACCCTAAATGGCATCTTAGAGATGCGAGCAGCGGCCCTCCACCAACCCCAACGCATAGAACCCATGGCGCACAGCCAGAAGCAAAGGCATCATCGATAGCAGAAGCGTTCAAAAAAAGCGCGGAAACCATGGGTGAAAGATAAGGTTGAACCAACGAACCCGTCTCCGGCCGAAAGATTCCAGCATCAACAGATTCGGGAAGGAGCCGTACCTGGGTCTGAATGAGATTGGGCATCTTCTTGAACCGCAACCGGCGACGGCGCTCCGGCAACGAAGGCGATAGGTCAATCTCGACGTCCTCCACCAGCATCTCCCCGGCGGAGGGACCTACTAACCTCTCAACAGGAGTGGATCGAATGACGTTATCCTCATAGGACAGAAAGGGGATCGTCGGCACGCCATTCAAAAACGCAGCTTTAGGGCATAAGGCAAGGAGAAGAGGGGTGAGGCTCTCCTGGAAGCAATCCAATAACTTCCCTTCGCCGTCTGGCTGGGAACGATGATAGGGTCGCGGCAAGGAGGACGAGGGGGATGGGAGGTCGCCAATGAGGACGAGGCGGGAGATGGTAAGTTTAGGAGATGACAAGAAAAGGAGGAGCTGAAAGTGGCCGGCTGCGGTGGAAAATACCCAATCGTCTTCGCGACCGTGAGGGACAAGGACGGCGGCGATCGCTGGTAGAGAAGGATTCGATGTGGAAGACGGGGAATCGGCGACGGCGACTCGGAGGGCATCGGCGTAGGGGTTTCCTGGAGATGCTAGAGGGTTGGGAAAAGAGAAAGAGAGGAACTGAGAAGGGACGATGAGCTCAAACACCGCAGGATCGATGCCTTCTGCGCTCATGGCATTTTTTCATGAAAAGAATTACGAAGCTTTTACTGCTTTATGATTTCCTTAATAGAAATCAGGAAAATGACATAAAATTTATCCCGATTTAATTCCAATTTAATCTAAAAGGGATCATTTTGAATCCCAAATATCAGTTATATTGCCCCAAATTCAAGGAGTGAGCCACATAAGAAGCTGCCAACAGTTCAAAAAGAAGAGAGAAGATTATGATGTAAATTTCTTACAAAGCCAGATAATTACGAGAAGTAAACTATGATTTTATTTGAAACAATTTTCTAATTATTTTTTAAAACAGTATTTTAGTATTAAAACTGTTTGAATACTAAAAAACTATTTTAAAAAATAGTAAAAAAAGTTATCACAAATAAAAGATATCTTAGATACATCAAGTGATAAGCTCATGAAGAGGGCGAATTATTACGTCCAGTGACCGGACCGTCCTGACATTAATCTAGATGCACCACGTCAACCGGATACACTAGGCCCCGGATTTATCTGGGTAACATGGCGCGTCTAGATTGTTGTCTGGACGAATCCGGAAGTTTAATACTTGTGTTTTCATACTATTTTTTAGCTATATTCTATAGCTTGTATCTCTGATAAAGCACTTGGGCAAATTTTTAAACTAATTATTGTTTAAGAACTAATTAGGGGATTAAATACATTTAAAAATTAATTTAGAAATAGGCATAGCCACCTGTTTTGGGCAAATTATTGCATCAGGTCACCTGACAGAGAGATGCGTTCGGTCTCTCTCTGTCTACAATAACCTGCGCTTTCCCAACTTTCCATTTCCTCCTCTGCCGAAGCCCGATCCCCATTCGCTACAGTCGCATTTCGACCGCCGATTTTCGTACGAAGCTCAAGGTGACTTATTTTATTTTATTTTATTTTATTTCTTGAAGTATTAAAGTTAGGGAGGTGTTATATTACTTAAGATGCCCAAATTTTTCATGTATTACGGTTTGCAAGTGATTGTAGGAGCCTATTTTTTTAGGTATTTGAATATATTTTTTTGGATTGATTTGTGTATGGCTAAGCCAAATTTGTTGAAGTTGTGGTAGGAATTGAAGTGATTTGTTTGTTTGGCAAAGTTATCACCATTATATTTTTTTAGGATGGAAGATTTGGCATATTGAGTTGTTTTAAGAATGTGAAAAAGAAAATTGCGTAGAAGTAATTGTATGAATTTCATATGTAGAATAATCAGTGTAGGATAATAATTAAGTTGTGAAAAATTAGATTGTTTTTTCTAGATTTAATTTAAAAGTATAAAATTTTCCTCATTTTTTAAAATTCAGGGGTCACATTGCAGCCATATTTTGGTAGAAATGACTTAGGAGTGACCCAACCAGTTATTGACCATATGGAAGAGCTGATCCAAGATATGCAAAGACATATGCATATGGAGGATGATCGTTATACAGAAGCTGTACATACAAAGTACACCTACTTCAGTGGCATCCCATCATTTGTGCAGCCACATACCATGGTTGCGAGTCGACCATCTTACGAAGAGTAGTGTCCATCTCAGAATTTTTTCCTGCCAGCTGACATCACAGGATTTTTAATCATGGCCCACAGATGACTACATTACTACGACCATTCCGTCTACAAATGAGGAGACAATTGTATCATGCAGAGCTGCATGAGTTGAGGGATAACCTCTTAGGGCGCTGCAACACTACATGCCCGATAAACCTGCCATTCCACATAAGATAAAGAAGAAAAGTTAGAATATATTTTCTTTGATTTGGATGGCCTCAGCCTTCATTGTCATATTGTATTTTCTTTTGAGTAAGAAGACAATATAGTGCTTTCTTCCTTAGTGTACGCATGTGTATGCTCTTACATTAATTTATTTTTGTTTCTGGGGTGTTCTAAAGGCTAGTCCAACCAGCAGCTAAGTTAGGTGCAAGTCGCTCGTTCAATGTGCGACTATATTATTTTTAAATTAAATTTCTAACATACCTAATCACTTAATTGATTCTTAAAACATAATTAATTTAAACTTTTTTCATAAAGTACTTCCTTCTTTATTCATGTGCATGCCAGTTCCTATATGGATTTGGTTCTAAGTATTCTTTGTGCCATTTGGTCCATTGCCTCAAGATGGGGTTGTCTCCACTATAAATTTACTAAAAATGTAATATAGAATATCATAATGAAATTTTAGACCCAAATGTTTGGGCATATAGAGAGTTGAAATTTTCTCTAAATTTCTTCCATATCAAACCAATTTAATACCACTTACAAAATCTTCAAATGATTCTTAGAGTTTGTTTTTCATTTAGTATTTAGCAACATTTTGTTGTAAGTTTTGCTCAACCCATAGATTTTATTCTATAATCTCAAACAAATCATGCATTGAAGTTATTGATGTATGAAGAATATAAAGAAATATTGTGAACTTTGTTGAAGATACCTAAGCATCTGCTTCAGAAAAAATGAAAAGGTTTAGAATGTTTGAGGATGCAATTTCTAAATATTTTTTGTTTCACCAATTCTATTGCTAATGTGCCTTTCTTCATCTTCAAAACTAGTGTCATGACGAGAGGAGTGTCAATTTCGGGTCACGGATCGGGTTTGGATCGAACCCAAAACTGACCTGGCACTATTTGGGTCAACCCGAACCCGACCCATTTTAGAAAACGGGTCCATTTTCCTGACCCAACCCCGACCCGCTTCTGGTCCGGGTCAACCCGACATGACCCGAATGACCCGTTTCCAACAAAAAATTTCTAATTTTCTGGTCAAAATGGGTCTATCTCCTCTTTTTCGAGTAAAAATTGGGTCAAAATTGAGTCAATCTCGGGTTGCAGGGTCAAAATCAAGTTTTCGGGTCAAAATCAGGTTTTCGGTTCAAAATCGGGTCAATGGGTTAACCCAAACCATACCCGATTTTTGAAACGGGTCGAAAAGTTGAACCCGAACCCGACCCATTTCAGGTTCGGGTTGATCCTGACCCGAAATTTTCGGGTCGAGTTCGAGTCGAATTTTCGGATCATGTCAAATATTGACACCCCTATGTCATGTCTTTCTATCTTCTAGTTTATGTTGACAAATGGGAATATCTCTTAAGAGTTTCTCTTGAGGACCCATCATGGGAATGTTTCTTTGGGTGTGAAGTTCATCTTAACATTTTTCTACCACCCTACTTCAATAAGTTTGGAAGTGTATTCAAATTTAGATCAAAGAAGGTTCAATCAATGGTCAAAAGAGCTTTGAATAAGATTTCAAACCAAGATTCGAATTATATTTCAACCCATTTAAGAATGCAATCAAGATTCAAATCAGATTCAGATCAGGTTTGAATATGGTTCAAATAAGATCTAAACAATGTTCAAATCATAATTAATTTAGGTTCAAACATTGCTCAAATTAAGTTTAAATAATATTCGAACTTTTTTTAATCACTGATTGTAACTGATTAAAACATATTTTGTTGATCCTCAATATGATTTTGCTGTAAGTCTCTATCTAAATAACCTTAATTCTCTTGCACAAAACTAATATAAGTCATATGATTTGTTAAAAAATTACTTTGATCATATGCTCATAACACTAACATAAAAAAAAAATTCCTATGATATTAAATGTCATATCACACTATCATGGGCTTCTTACAATGCCATAAGAAGATATCTCAAATGAAAGAACAAAGAAATCAGCAATGACCACATCACTAAATGACTATATATGTATAAAGAAGCTAGCAATGATGTTGCTCAATTTTAGAGCTTCATATAATTTGATAAGGCTCTAGGGATATTAAAGTTATTTTTGTTCAAACCATCTTTCAAGCATAGTTGGTCAAATAAACATATAGTCAATGAACATATTATAAGGCATATAAGTCAAACTCTCCTTCTACAAAGGCCTAAAATTTTATTAAGCTAATAAATGGCTATATGAGAAATCCATAAAAACGTTTCAAATTCAAGGTAAGCTATCCATGAAATCTATATCTAACTTGTTACAAGCTAGAAAACTTATGACGGTGGAATATGCATTTTATATCTTAGCTTTGAACAAAAATTCAACATGTACAAATAAAAATTATGTGAGATGAGAATCCTCTCTCTAATGGAAGGGGAAAACCAGGGCCCTGATTCAATTGGATGAATCCACTATATAATGCAAGATACAAGAATCGACTCTGTGAGAGCTCGTTTCTTTGATTTCCTTCCAGGATCGTTCGGGCCGATTTTGGATCGTCCTGGGACGATCAGTGCATGGCAAAAGTCAGTGAGCAAGGGTTTTTATCGTCCAAGGAAATTAATTATCGTCCTGAGATATCGTCCTGGACGATTGGATTTTATTCATATCGTCCTGGACGGTGTGGCGATCGGCCGGGCCGATCAGGTTTGTTTTAAAAGAAAATCAGCTCGATTTGATGAGAGAGAAAATCATTTTTTTATAAAAAATATCTGAGGAGAGAGAAGGAGAAGGAAAGCAAAGGAAAAGCTGGATTTTGGAGGCCGCTGAGCGCTTTTCGTCCGTCGCCGCTGTTGGGAGAAGTGTTTATATCGCAGTAAGAACTCCGAATCCTATTTCTGTTTTCGAAGATGTTGAGTTTTGATAATTTTGTGCTCAGATTTGTGTTTTCGTTACCGAAAAACACGCACCGTTTTTTATTGACGAAAGTTTCACCGCATAACTTTTGGTATGTTATTGATATAGTATTTCTGCATATTTTGATTATTTTCTGGAGAATTTCGACCGGTTAGTTTTGATTCGGCGGTGTTTTATGTTGACTGTAAATTTATATGATGTCGGAATTTATTTGAGCAGTAGAATAAAAGTCTTATATTGTTGTTGTGCACGTTCTGTATTAATTTGGTAATTTCTGATTTTAGGAATTTTTGTGTAAATTCCGTATACTGCCGTTA